GGCGTGATACTACTCGATATCAACTTCCATTGAATACATTGATTGTTATGGACTCCAGAACACACGATCAAGCTACACCTATCTTATCTCTATATCACACACAAGTGCTCACTTCTTGAGCCCCGGCTACGAAGGCGTGGATGTCAATTCCGGTGCTCGTGCAAATGTCAAGAGAATCCGGGTTCAAGGTTCGTTACATCTTCAATGTTGATGGAATGGCACTCGAACGGTTGCTCCTATTGGAGGAGCTGTCCGTAAGTCTTTCGAAGAAGACAGCCAACAGGCGGCAGATCTACCCGCAGGAGCTCAGCAGGGCCTAATGCTATAGGCCGTCGAAGCACCCGTACAGGTTCGTGCTGTGTGGTCATTCCGACTTCCAGGTCATATCCTCTACTCCACACATAGTCCGCCATCCGTACGCTCCTGCTCCACAGAGGCTGATCTCTCATTGATACGACCAGGTGCCATGCCCCCCAGAGCACATCCTGGCCATGACATTGAAGCAAGCAAGCAAGCAACGATGGTCAAGGAGGGACGTACAACGTATAAACTATTCTCGCTCCTCACCGACCCCGCACTTCTGACTCGCTAACTTGCCAGAGCTCCAGCTCTTCTCCTAGTGGGCAAGGCGGGCTCGCGGGATTCATGCCCCTCCGACGGGAGCTTTGAAGGTTATGTCTCCATTCAGGGGCTATTGGAAGGCATTGACAACATTGGAGGTGCCATCCACGCTCCCAGCCAATCAGCTCACCAATATCCTTCGATGCATTGTGCTGGCAAAACGGATCATCTGTCTCGTGCCCCTCTGAGCAAAGCCCACCAGCACAAGCGGCCTCGCAAACTGACGCTCAGTGGCTGTGCTTGCATCGTGCTTCGATCCACTGAACGCAGTAAGAAACGGGGCTCAGGGCTCTCGGCCACCTGTGATACGATGCAATCGTCAGACGCACATGCGACCCGGCAGGCTTGCACCCTGAATTTCCAGCAGCTCCGATTCAGAGCACCTCCTCACCCCTCTTCGCCCCTCTCTACTTCTCTGTGAACGCGTGTTTGGTACCATTTAAGCACATCTCTCGGCTGCCATTCGTAGTTTCGACTTCAACAAAGGAGCTGTACTGTTGGTGTGCGACAGCTCTTTTACCAGCATCAACATCATTCACTTACTCTTTCTCCAGTGGTGCCTGCATTACAGCAAGCCTCTGTCCTCGAATTTCTCGAATCAACAGCCCCCCATTTGTCGGGCTCCGATTCCTTCGGTCTGCCGTACATCAAGTCTCGCAATGGGTCTTCTCGATAAAGTCGAGGCCCTCTTTGAAGGCGACAATGATGCTGAGAAGCACTCTCACTCGCATTCGGGCTATCAGTGCGATGAGCTTCACCCAGAAGAACACGTTGCCAACAGATACCAGTCCTTTGTAGCCCCTTCTTCTGGCAACATCAAGTGGTTCGTCGATGGCTGCTCCTACTTCTGGGCCGTGTCTGAGGCTCTTCAACGTAAGATCTATGCGCCTGTCTCGGCGAGGTATCTCATCTCAAAGTTGTATTACTAATACTTGCCTGACAGGGGCGGAGGAGAGCATATATATCCTCGACTGGTGGCTGAGCCCTGAGCTTTACCTTCGTCGACCACCTTCTCGTAACGAGCAGTATCGTCTCGATGCTATGCTCCAAGCTGCCGCCGAACGCGGCGTCAAGGTTCACGTCATCGTGTACAAGGAAGTCGAGGCCGCCCTCACTCTCAACTCTGCGGTATGTCATTCAGACAGCAGTGTCCTCTACTATAGTATTTGCAAAATTTGGACGTGGCTCATTCACAACATGTATAGCACACAAAGCATGCCCTCGAGAAGCTGCACCCCAACATCAGCGTCTTCCGACATCCCGACCACGCACCGGCTGGATACGACCTTGCTTCGGAAATTGGCAACTCGTTCAAGAACTTGACAAACTTTGACCTGGCTACTGTATCCAAGGACACGCTCAAGGCAATCTACGGCGCGGCAGACGATGTTGTTCTCTACTGGGCACATCATGAAAAGCTCCTTGTTATCGACCGTAATCTCGTTTTCATGGGTGGTCTGGATATGTGTATGTTTGCACCTTTCTGTTACTCCTCTTTATCCTCAAATATAAGAGTGTCACTAACCTCTTTCTTCAGGCTTTGGACGATGGGACACCAACTGTGAGTAGAGACGTAGTAGTCTGGATGAAGCCTTCTTGCTAACGTAAACATGAAGCCCATCCAATTGCCGATGCTCATCCTGCAAACATCGACAACACCATCTTCCCGGGCCAGGACTATAACAACGCTCGAATTTTCGACTTTGCCGATGTTGGTAACTGGGAGCAGAATCAACGTGAGTCAGCCCTCCGTCTCTACAAGCTCATTTATAGGGTGCTGATGACATGCGCAGTGGATCGAACCAAGAGCTCGAGAATGGGTTGGTCAGATGTCGCCTTGTCTATGAACGGCCCAATCGTGTCCGATCTTGTCGCCCACTTTGTCGATAGATGGTACGAGGAAGATCTCCCAAGCTTGTTTGGTTCTCTAACTGACTGGGACAAGGAACTTCATGTTTGACGCAAAGTATAACGAGAAGGACCCCGGGAAATATGAAAGGCTCAGCCTGCCGGGAGGACATCGTTCGTCACGGCGACGACATGAAGAAGAAGGCTATGAACAAGAGGAATACGAGCGGCGAGGAGATGGAGAGCGAGAGTACGAGGAGGAACGCGGCGGCCGCCGCGGCATGTTCAGTCGCTTTACTGACTCTCTTACCGAGGAAATGGGAAACCTGGGCTTCTCGGAGAGGCACCGATCCCATCGTGACTACGACGACGAACGATACGACGACGAGCGCTCCTACGGAAGGCGCAGTAACAGGGAAGCTACGCGCATTCAGCTTACTCGAAGGTCTGTGGCTATCTACTAACGACTACATATAAAAGTCAGCTTCGCTAACCTTCAGTCCAGCTGCTGCCCATGGTCATCCGGCCACCCCACGGAGCATTCCATCGCAAATGCATACGTTGGCGCCATCACGAATGCAAAGCATTTTGTCTACATTGAGAATCAGGTACGCGATCCAATACTACAAAAGGACTTAACAATTATCAAACACATGCTGACCATCATGACAAGTTTTTCATCACGGCCACGAGTGATGAGCAGCGCCCCGTTTCCAACAAGATTGGCGCTGCCATAGTTGACCGCATCGTTCGAGCATACGAGGAGGGTCAGGCGTTCAAGGTGTGGGTAGTGATGCCCTCTGTCCCAGCCTTTGCTGGAGACTTGAAGTCCAAGGAAGCCCTCGGAACTCGAGCCATCATGGAGTATCAATACAACTCCATTAGCCGAGGCGGTCACAGCATTATCCAAAAGCTTGTCGCTGCGGGCATCGAAAACCCCCGGGAGTACATCGGTTTCTACAACCTTCGAAACTATGACCGCATCAACACATCCGGCACCATGCAGCAGGCGGAATCTCGCTCTGGCGTCTCGTATGAGGATGCGCGAAGATATCACGACGACTATGTCAACGAGGAGCGTTACGGCGGTGATGATGGCGATTCTTACGACTACGACAGATACCAACGTCAAGCCCGATCAGTCCAGGACGAGACTCTGGATACCGTGAGCGCCGCTTACATGATGGACGGCCCCAACATTGCCGACATCCCCTGGGACGGCGAGCCTGAAGACGAGTTCAACGCCTTTGTCAGCGAGCAGCTCTATATCCACTCGAAACTCCTCATTGCGGATGACCGCGTCGTTATTTGCGGCTCTGCCAACCTGAACGATCGCTCGCAACTGGGAACCCACGACTCTGAGATTGCTGTGGTGATCGAGGGCCCTCTCAACCTCGACTCTTACATGAACGGTGAGCAGTACGCGGCCAGCGAATTTGCCGCTTCTCTGCGGAGGCAAATCTTCCGCAAGCACCTCGGCTTGCTGCCCGACCAGCGATGCGACAGACCAGACCAGAACTGGCTGCCGGTGACTGACGCACCCAACGACTACGACTGGGGCTCGTCCGCCGATCGACTTGTAGAGGATCCCCTGAGCCCAGACTTTTTGAACCTGTGGGAAGACACGGCAAACACCAACACCGAAGTGTTCAGCCGGGCATTCCACCCCGTCCCCGACGACCACGTGCGCACCTGGGACGACTACGACGAGTTCTTCTCAAAGCACTTCACTATCCCCACCGCCAAGGGAGACGACAAGAAATCCGACGATGGAAAGGACGAGAACAAGGTCCCGTATGGTCACGCCGTCCGCGAAGAGTTCCCCGGCGGTGTGCAGGAGCTAAAGGAGTGGCTGAGCCGTATTCGTGGCACCCTCATCAACATGCCCCTCCAGTTCCTTATTGAGGTTGATGATATTGCCAAGGAGGGACTGACTCTGAACGGACTAACGGATGAACTGTACACGTAGACTCGAGTAGCGAGTGAGTGGCATGACTTGGTCACTGACTAGTTGCGAGAACATGACAACAGGTAGCTGCGTAAAAAGGTTCATGGCCTATATACATTACAAAGGTAGTAACGACAAAATCTAAACCAAAAGTCATTAGTTGAATAAAGCTACTCGTATGTATAAGTAGTATACAAGAGCATATGCAGACACTCCGTCCAACCAGCCACCTTATACATGAGGACAGAGAGGTGGGGAGAAAGAGACAGGGAGACTGAGCGTGCATGTCCCCGTCCACCGGAGAGTAGAGGCACGGGCAGGAATTGGACGCCTCTCGTTGGCGCAGTCTTCACACCAGCTGCCGTCCGCGCATCAAGGGGGCAATACCACAGTCTACCGTTTTGTCCAGAAAGCGGTTTCATGGCAGGCTTCCCCAATCCCTCATAAACTCCTGCATTATATGCCCCGCTCTTCATTAGATCCCTTTTGGAAAACCCGTGTTGCTCCCCTTTCCCTCCTGATAACTCCATCTGAAAGTCAGGGCAGATGCCCATATTCGCCAGGATCTTCGTAGGGTATACGATCAGTCGGCCTTAGTGTTACCGTTAGATCCACCAAGGAAGCCCTCCTTGAAATCTCGGATGCTGATTGAATCCTCGAGCCGGAAGTGGCCGCGTCCACGACGAGAGCGGCCGCGCAGCCAGGAGAAGACGCCAAAGGCAATGCCGACAATGCAGCCCAGGGTCAGGTAAGGGTGCTCGGTGAAGGAGACGCGAATGTCGAAGAAGATCTTTTCAAAGGAAGAAATGGTGAGCTTGGGCTTGAGGGCCTGCGGGGTGTAGACGACCTTGTCGAGCGTCTCCAGGATGGACGTGCGGCTGACGAGGATGTAGTTGCCCGTCACGGTGCTGTCCCAGTACTTGCGGTTCTGATTGGGTGATATGGGTCAGTCATTATGTTCAAAAGGAGAAGATGTCCCTCCAGAAGGGGGCCACAAGGGAGGCTCGGAACTTACATCTTGGTCATTGATGATGACTCTTTCTCCATCCTTGACGTCAATGCCATACGTGGTCCGGATCCAGCGCTGCCACGCTACGCCGTCGACCCACGCAAAGGCTACTTCTCTCCGTCCAGAATTGCTCATGTCAACATGGATAGCCTTGGCGGCCCGCAAGGCGCGCTGGTCGTCTCGGTCCTCGGCTTCTTCAATCCTCATCTGCTTCGCGTCTCGCAGCTTCTTCCGCTCGAGCTGGAATTCTTGAATCTGCCTGTCCATCCACTCGTTGGCTGCGCTCTTCATCTCTCGAAGCGCACCCTGGAAGGATTCCTGGTCGTCTCGGTTCAGGACGCCGAGGACAACAATCTTGCCTTCCATGATCTGGCGGGCGTTGGTAACCAGCAGTTCAGGGACCAGGGGAAGCCAGACCGATCTCATCCAGTCCAGAACTTGATGGGTATCCCTCATTGCGTTGGGAGTGAGAGGAGGGTAGTAAGTAGGACGGCCTTCCCGCGAGACCATGAATCTCGGCCAAGTCGTGATCTTGAAGCGCTCGTACATGGCGGGATCCTTGGTCTTGACCAGTTTGGCATGTCCGATGAGACTCAGGGGTAGCCTCTCGAGGGCATTGAAGTCCTCCGATGTGGTGGCGTGGTCGTAGAAGTAGACAAAGATGACATCTTCCTTCTGCTCGAGGGCCTTGAATGCTGCCAAGTCCACGTCGGGCACTCCGCTGGCAAGGTCGACGGCGTTTTCGGCATACTGAATAAAGTCGCCTAGGCCTCGGAGCCCCTCGTACTCTGAGCGCTCTCCGCCCTTGAAGAACAGAATAGTGGGAAACGCCCGCGCACCGACGTCTTTGCACAATCGCGACTCCTTGTCACAGTTGACCTCTCCGATGTTGAGCTTGCCCTTCATGCTCTTCGCTAGCTGCTCCCAGGTAGGCGCCATGTCCTGGCAATGGGGGCACCAGGGCGCGTAGAACTTGATGAACCAGGGATCCTGGGTCATTGTCACCAGGCGCTGGAAGTTTTCGGCCGTCAGGGAAACTGACACTCCATCTTCGTTGGGCGTGGCAACTGGCTTCTTGGGCTTCTTCCCCTCGGTTCCGCTCTTTAGGGCTGTCTCGGGCTCAGACTCGGGGCTCTCTTTCTCGCCTGGCAGGGGCAGGGCGAGAGACCTGGGCCGAGATCCAGGTTTCGACTTCTCCAGAGCTTCTTCGATAATTCCAGACAGAAAGGTGATGTTCTGGCCTCCCGTCACGGATTTGACCTCCTTGCCGTTCTCATATAGAATCGTAGTGGGGTATAACTTGACGCCATTCTCAACGCAAAGGTCGCTGTAGGCAATGCAGTTCACGGCAGCAAATTTGAAATCGTAAAAGTCGGTGAAGCTCTTGTCGCCAGCTCCTTCCGGCTTGGATGTGTAGTAGTATTCGTAGGTTGTCTGGAAGTACGGGGCGTAGCTGATGCAGTGGTGGCAATACGGACTGGACCGCGGATACATGTCAGCTTGAGCCAGAATAGAGAGTTATATGATTAGGTCGTACCTGTAGTGCTTCACAAAAAGCCATTTGGTATTGCTTGCCACCTCTTTGAAGTTGTCCGGCGTCAATTCTGTCAAGGGAGGCACCATAACAGAGTCGAAATATGTGGGCTTGACGACGTTTTCCGCTTCATCCTCTGCCAGTGCCGGGAACGCAAGGAGCCCGAGCGCGGCCAAGCCAGAGAGGAAGGAGAAGGATGTCAGCCGCATGGTGGGCTGGTGGTTGAGCGACCTCGAAGGCGCTGGACGATGGTGCGAATATAGACGGGAAGAGAGAGGGCAGACCCGGGCTGAAGTCTGTGAAAGAAAACCAGGAGCGGCTGCGACGTAATCTCGAACAGCACCCCGAGTTTATCAAAAGCCTCAGGAATCGATCAGCGAAGAGGAAGCGCCGCTTCGGGGTATAACAGCCACTGATTGGAATTCAGGTACGACAATTGAAACGAGGATCAGAGCACGTAAGCTGGAGCCATTCGCGAGACTGGACGCTGTCTGTCGGTGCTGGCGGTGACAGAGCCGCCCAAGCAATGCCCGGAAAGCTCGTGAATCGGCGACTGGGACCAGGCGGGAGCCGTAGCAGTTACATATACTACTATGTGATGCTCCGTCCTCGTGCTCGTTGAAGATGTAGATAAAGGGAGATTGGAGACACGGAGATGAAACGACGTGGTCCGCCACATGTGAGGCGAGTGGTGTGGCTTGATCGCAGTCGCTGATTGGTTCATGCCGCGGCCTAGTACGGTACTTGCGTCACGTCACGATAATACGCTGTACGACATGTACCCGGCATTGCAGCTTCTCAACTGAAGGTTCAATTGCTGGAAGGAGCAAGCGCAGATGAGAGAGACGTCGCAACTGCTTCACAACAACGGGTAAAACAGCGAACAGAATCAACTGCCTCCTTCCCGGAAACCTCTTCTTATCTCCACATCTCTTCTTTTCTTCAGCTTCATGAACACTCGTCTTCTTATCCGCAAACTTCAACTGATTGTCCCATTGTCTCGCCATAACAGCAGATGCTCAATAAGCCACTGTCGGAATCGGCAGTCTTACCCTAAGATCATGGACAGTTCTCGGAAGCGGAACCTCGACGAGGAGGAAGACAAGGAGTCTGGAATCCTCTCATCGCTATCGCGTCCCATTAGTCCTCCGCGCAAACGGATTCGTCAAGGACAAACCCAGAAATCACCATGGCAACTCACTCGAATTCGGGATCTGCCAGAAGAACTGAATAAGGACACAGTTAGGCTTCGGGACATCCTGGGCGACCCTCTGATCACCGAGTGCTGGCAGTTCAATTTTCTTCACGACATTCCCTTCGTGCTGAGTGCCTTTGATGAGATGGTGAGGAATAGAGTCCAATTACACGTGGTTCACGGATTCTGGAAAAAGAGTGACGCGAGCCGTGCTGCACTTTCGGTACGTGGTTGATGCTTTATCTGTCTCCTCAACCGTTACTGAGGTAGATGTTCTCTTGCAAGTTTCATACCTTTTCCCCTCTCCTTCCACATTCTGGAAATAATATATTATTGGACTGATACTAAACAATCTTCAACTGTTATATGGCATAGGACAGCGCAGCTCAGTTTCACAACGTTCATCTACATTGCGCGCCCATGTCCGAGATGTTTGGCACTCACCACTCCAAGATGATGGTCATCTTTCGCTCCGACGACACCGCACAAGTCGTTATTCACACAGCCAATATGATTCCCAGGGACTGGACCAACATGACTAATGGCGTGTGGAAATCCCCGAAGCTGCCCAGGCTGCGAGAGTCAGAAAATACCCTGTTACAGCAAGGACAGCAGCTTCCAATTGGTAGCGGCACGAGGTTCAAAGTAGACTTGCTGGCTTACTTGAAAGAGTATGAGTTGTACAGACCTACTTGCAAACAACTGGTAGATCGTCTCGTCGGCTTCGACTTCTCAAGTATACGGGCAGCCTTCATCGCTAGTGTTCCGGGCAGGCACAACTTTCGTAATGATAGCAAGCCAGCCTGGGGTTGGGCCGCATTGCAGAGATGCTTACGATGTGTGCCGGTTGAGCGTGGACAGTCGCAAATCGTGGTTCAGATATCTTCCATTGCGACCCTTGGTGCCAAGGATGATTGGCTGCAGAACACCTTGTTCAAGTCGCTAGCCACATCCCTGACGCCGAACACGAAGAGACCCAGCTTCAAGGTCGTCTTCCCCACGGCAGAGGAGATTCGAAAGTCGTTAGATGGCTACGCTTCGGGGCATTCAATCCACACCAAGATACAGTCGCCGCAGCAGATTCGGCAGCTGAGCTATCTCCGGCCAATATTACACCATTGGGCCAACGACAGCGCATGCGGAGCAAGTGAGTCCTTTTTGTCTCCGCGTCTTTCTTCCTCCTTTACTTTGGAGTGAAACCACTTGTTCGATATTGATACGAAGATCGTGACCAACACCATGGCTATGGCTACCTGTACAAATTACCGATACGTGGACTAACCCCGTGTATAGAGCTTCCTGCAGAATCGCCAATCAGCGGCGATGGCGGGCGAAACCGAGCGGCCCCGCACATCAAGACGTATATACGCTTCAACGAAAGCAACACGATCGACTGGGCCATGCTAACGTCGGCAAACCTGTCGAAGCAAGCGTGGGGGGAAGCTCTAAATTCCGCCACAGGAAATGTTCGAATCGCTTCGTGGGAGGTTGGTGTGCTGGTGTGGCCGGGGCTGCTCTGTGAAGACGGGGTCATGGTGACCTCGTTCCAGTCGGATACCCTGGGCGCATCGCCATTCACAGAAGGACAAAGGCCCCTCATTGGTCTTCGGATACCGTATAGCATGCCGCTGCAGGCATACGGCAAGGACGAGGTTCCCTGGGTGGCGACTGCCGCCCACTCGGAGCCTGACTGCAAAGGCTGTATGTGGATGTACCCGACAGGCGACAGTGCCTAGGTGCATGTGGGCAGGCAAGGAAGGCTCTACGGGTAGAGCGCGGAGGCACAGATGAAGGGGAGAGTCGAAGCTTGACGGTGGTGTAATACTTCATACGGAGTAGCTGCATGCACACCGATATTGACCCCTGGAGCAACGCCGTGACGCAGTGGTGGGTGGCAGTCCAGGTATGCATGCCGGTGCGGGTGCGGCGCATGCGGAGGCTTGCCCTCTGCTTTCCCTGAACGAGCTTGGACCCCTCTCCGACGTATGCTGTAATACCACGGCCTTTTCTCCTCTGGTTGTGTCTATGGAGCTGAGCGATACCGCACAGACGTACGCGGTACTAAGTGACGGGGTGGGCACATGGGCAAAGGGTGTTGATGTGCGGACAGGGGATAGCTGCTCCGGAGGCTAGTTTCCGTATGGATGAATCCATATCTACCACATCTATGAGCAACGGGTATCAGATGTAGCCGGCAGGGCGTCTGGCTAAATTCCTAGTCAATACTACAGGCTGGTGACTGCTCAGTGTGAGTCTTCTGCAGTCCATGCAGCTTTTGCAGGCACAGGGCGAGGCCGACATGATCAGCACGCCTTTTTGTCGTTTGGATGATGCTACGAGTCCAAGTCAGACCGTGTCCATGTCTTGTAAGTGAGCACGTTGCTGCCAGCATGCCGTGTGGATTCAGGCGTAAGCATGTCCAACCCGAAGTCGCTCGTCTCTTCGCCCGCCCTGCCCTTCTCCATCCTTTGTCTGTTTAGGACGGCAATAACTCAGTCACCGTTCTGGAGCAGTTGGAGATGCCACAATCAGTGACAAACAGTGACTGCGCCGCCGCCGCCTCTGCTAAGCCGGTCCGAGACAGGGGTGGTTAAAGACCAGGTGAGACTTGGGAGCCATCGTCAGCGGGTTGTCCTTGGCGTGTGCGTGGGATCTTGCCCTTCCATCCAACTTTCTCTCGTTTCTACCCCTCAATCCTTGTCTTGTGCGTCGGTTCAGCCGCTCAGCGTAAACGGGTCAATGTCGGCTTTTTCTGATACATACTTGGTTTGATGCTGATTGCGAGATATGGATGGCGTGCAAGCGAGCACGCAAGGTGCATGACTTTTGACGACGGCTTGAGGGCTTGATGCTATAGGAAAGGCAGACGTTGGGCTCTGAAATGCCTTGTATAAGTGTAAGTCGTACATACAATATATCTCCATCTGCTGTGACCTGAGGTTGGACAGAGACACGCGGAGAGGTTACGAAATGTGTACGACCTGATCGGAGCGAGTACTCGTGCCTAGTAGGTATAGGCAGGCAGTTATGTAATATGAGGACTTCTTCTGCAGCGGTACCGGGCAGACACGACGCAGCGTCTCTTTTTGCCTGCCACATGCAGCAGCGCTACCTGGTGCATCGCGGCGATGCTACCCGAGAGGGTCGTGCTTGAGGTATGGAGTGCCTTAGTCCGATGGAGTTGAAGCAAGGTACCTCCTCCCTGTCGGGCTAGTACCTCCATTAGCTTGCCTGCGTTATGCCGTCAAGAGCTGTCCGAAGATGGCACCTAGTACCAATACGACATAGCCCGAGTACCGAGCTACGTGCTAGCGATCGTTGCTCATCTTCATCTACAGGTACATCTTTAGCCCAAACCCGCAGGTGCTCGTTTTGCCCAGCTTCACCTTCTTCCTCCCCTTTGGCTTGTCAACACCATCTCCGGCCGTCAGCCTCGTCCAACAGCAATTCCGCACGCCTCGAATCATTGTCTCGCCTCTCTCCTCCGGTGACTCGTGCTGCTACCTCCGGCGCACATCAAATTTGAAGGGCGGAGCCTCCCGAAAAAAGCTGGTAGCTTTTTTCTTGAGTGAATCCTCGGAGCAAATTGGCCTGGTCCTTTGACTCGACACTAAATCTCGACGACGTTTCCTGCTCGAGGTCTGCTAGGATCGACGACTGTACTGCTTGTGCGACTTCTCTTTCACTGTCTTCTGAGTCACACCATCCGTGGTTGTTGCTCAGGTCGGCGGGAAGGACTTGAACCGTATTGAGCAAGAGAACAAGCGACAAATATAGAGAAAGCTGTCATATCAGGAAGACGAGCCGGTCAAGTCAAGTGGTTTGATGGTGGATTCCCACCGGCCGCTTGGTCCTCGACATCCGACTACATCCAATATCTCGAACCTCCTTCTCCTCCTCTGAAGAGACGATTATATCACCATGAGTCCCGCTGCCAGTGGCAGCCCCGGGCCCTCTGGCCACGATCACCCGGCCTTTCCGCCTTCGTTTCGTTCTGGGTCTCCTCTTGCCGGCCAGGTTCTGGCGCAGGATATTGCAGAATGTACCGATGACGACTTCGATCCCGCCGACGACCAGATCGACGCCGAGCATGGCCATCACTTCATGTACCGCCGGCCCAGCGGCGTGGCCTACGGCGCAGCGCGGCCTGCCTTCAACCCAAACGGCCTGGACGAGCCCATCTTGACTCCACTAGAGCGAAAGCAATCTCGCGATGCCGAGCGCAGCCTCCTGCGGGATAACCACGTCCTGCCACCGAAACATGCCAACAAGAGCCAGTCGATTCCCGCTCGAATCTACCGAAAGATGTTCAGCACCAAAGTGCCTGTTGAGGAGTACGAGAACGAGTCAGAAGATGATGCGCCGCTGCTCTCCCGGGACGACGACCTCGACTATGGCACACGATCCCGCCGACAGCGACCCGCTCCCGCGGGCGACGATGATGTGGACGAGCAGTGGGAGGAGGCCATCACGACGGGACGCATTCGCACGACGTGGCAGCGCGAGGCCAAGACGGTTCTGTCATACTGCGGGCCCCTGATTGTCACCTTTTTCCTCCAATACTCGATCAACGTGGCCGGCATCTTTGCCGTTGGTCGCATCGGAACCATAGAGCTGGGAGCTATATCATGTAAGTCGGCAGTCATACCCAAATACTACACAAATATGCAGCCACCCAAAGAGGACAACGAATCGAAACTGACTCGTCTACTTCATCTATAGTGGCCAACATGTCACAAGCCATCTCCTGCTTGGCTCCCTTCCAGGGCCTGGCTACGAGTCTGGATACTCTCTGCGCCCAGGCTTACGGGTCTGGCCACAAGCACCTGGTCGGCTTGCAGTGCCAGCGCATGGCATGCTTCCTCCTGACCCTCTCGGTGCCCGTCATCCTGCTGTGGCTATTCGGGGCCGAGCCAATCTTGCAGCGCATGGTGCCTAACCCGGAGTCTGCTCGCCTTGCCGCCCTCTACCTCCGGGTCATGATCTTTGCCATCCCGGGCGTCATCCTGTTTGAGTGCGGCAAGCGCTTCACTCAATCGCAGGGCCTCTTCAAGGCCACGACGTACGTCCTCCTCTTCGCCGCTCCCTTCAACGTCTTCCTCACCTGGTTGCTCGTCTGGAAGCTGGAGTACGGCTTCGTGGGCGCGCCCATTGCCGTGGCCATTACGGAGAACATCCTGCCGGTCCTTCTCTTTTGCTATGTCCGCTTCGTCAACGGCCGCGAATGCTGGGGCGGTTTCAGCAAGCGAGCGCTCAGCAACTGGTGGGTCATGATTCGGCTGGCGCTGCCGGGCATGATCATGGTCGAAGCCGAGTGGCTTGCTTTTGAGATCCTGACGCTCCTGGCCAGCCGCTTCGGATCGGATTACCTCGCGGCCCAGAGCGTCGTTTCGACGATTGCATCCATCTCGTACCAGATCCCCTTTCCCATGTCCATTGCCGCGTCGACGCGTGTGGCCAACTTGATTGGAGCTGGCCTGGTCGACGCAGCCAGAGTGACTGGCAAAGTGGTATGTGTGATTCCTCTCCTATAGAGAAGGCAAAGCAAAACTCGGGTCATTACTAACGCTCATCCAGACATTTGTGACGCATTGTATCCTCGGACTGCTCAACTTTACCATCTACAGCACTCTTCGATACCACCTGCCGCTGCTCTTCACGGACGACGATGGGGTGATTTCCATCGTGGCCAGCGTTCTGCCCGTTGTCGCCGTTATGCAGGTGTTTGACTGCCTGAGTGCCGGCGCGCACGGATTGCTGCGTGGCATTGGCAAGCAGAGCATCGGCGGGCCAGTCAACCTTATCTCGTACTATGCCGTCTCGCTACCGATTTCTCTGGCGCTGGCCTTTGGGGCCAACTGGAAGCTGCAAGGCCTGTGGGCTGGTGTCAGCGTCGGCCTATTCTTGTAAGCCAAGTCCTTTCTCTCTACACTTCCTTGAAGGCGACGATGCAGTGGGCTAACCCGTGATCATTATAGGGTCTCCTCCATCGAATATACTTACCTGCTTAAGACAGACTGGCACTCAGCAGCCCGAGAGGCTGCCGCCAGAAATGCAGCGGGCTAGAAGAAGCCGCGCAATGGCGCACGTTTGCGCATCCCAGGCCCTCCTCCTCTCACTCGAGGCAACGCATTGTGCAGCATGATATCCACACGCGGGGGAGGGAGAAACAGCATATTTGCCGCGTTGACCACTCGAAAGCGGAAAAGGGGTGATGTACTGAGCGAGGAGAGCTTTTGCTTTACTATCCACAGGGTTTGGGAAGCGGCAGAAGGAAGCCGTCTGAACGAATGAGGCGATGGCACACCCAGCCTGAGATGGATGACGGGGAAACTACCAAAGTCGCTGCGGAGAAGAGCCTTGGGAGAATCATATCTGGATACAGCAGCGGTTCTGGATAAAAGGGGGCAGACAGCGTCACTCCATTTTTGTACATGCATATCGGATAGTGAATGAAAGAGAAAAAGGAAGTACAATACTGACTTTCTACGGACTTGAACATTCATGGTATGTCTCAATCTCCTACAACTACCTACTCTGGAAGATCGTATCTACCCTTGCAACTCCGCCAGTCACTGGGAGAGTCCATCCTTCAGTGCATTTTCCTTTCAATATATTTTTCCATGTTTTATTTGTTGCGTTTCTCTCGTAATTCGGACCAGATACGCCATCGGAGCCGATCCTTTCCAATACTTTAGAAGAAGACAAAAGACTCAAGTGAGCAGGTAATTGTCCCCTTTTCATCCCAGTAAACTGCGGCGCGCATAGAAAGTACACATTAGACAAAGGGCCGTTTTGATAGATCTTATACCTTCTCTCAACTACACATCGATCGAGTCCCTCCCCACCAGTTCCTGAAACGCTTTTCAGCTGAGCATGGAATGTGTGCGGATGGCTTTGGGGCCGTGTTCACTAGTTGGTTGAGTAGGGTTAGCAACCATTATAATACGGAGCGAAAGTTTACGGACACTTACTTGTAATCGACTCTGCTCAGGCTCATCGACTTCTGGGCCTCAATCGCCTGAGCGTCCATGTTGGAGTGCAGGCAAAAGGCTATCCTGGCGGCCACCTGGGCGCCGAGGAACATGGCCTCCTCGAAGCCGTTCTTGCTCCACTCGCTCAGGTACGTCGGCAGCGCAATCGTGCGGATGCTGGTGGGCGTCTGGCTGTGGAAGTGGTGGCCGCTCGCGGGGCCCGCAGCCTCGGAGCCGACCATGGGCGTCGACCCCGTGGCCACCTGGATCGTGTCCCGGCCGGGGACGCCAAAGGTGCTGGCCGTCGTGGCCGCCTGCAGCAGCGGGTTGACGCCGCCGCCGCTGGCCAGCTGGTGCGGGCCGCCGCTGAAGGAGCCGACGGGCGTCTGCGAGCCGGTGCCCGCGGGCGTCGCCACGTTGGACGGCAGCTCCGACGTGAACATGGTGGCCGTCGACGGCGAGATGAGGTGCCGCGCGGTGAGCGTCTGCAGGATGTTGTCCTTGAGCCCGCGCAGCCGCGACCCGTTGCCGACGAAGACGAGGTTGTCCCAGCAGGCAGGGCGCATGTACATGTCCTCGACGCCCTGGATTGTGCGGTAGATGGTGCTGACGATGCGGTCGATTTCTTCGCGGTCCGCGAACAGGAAGCGCTCCAGGCCGACTTCGATCTCGCGCCGGATTCGCTTGGGCCTGAGCTCACGAGGTCCGTCATCGTTGGCGTTGGCGTCGGTCTCAGCCTTTGCATCGGCATCGGTATCGGCCGCCTTGCTTTGCTCCTCTCCGTTGGCGGCATCGGCAGCTGGCTTGGAATCCGTAGCATTCTCAGTGTCATTGCCATTGGGCTTTGACTCCTCGGTCTTGACGACAGGTGTCTCGGTCTCCGTCGCTACAGGAGCAGGCTCTTTGGAGTCTGCATCCGCCTCCGTTCCTTGTGCTGCCGGCTCTGCTGTAGGCTCTGCAGCTTTTTCTGTGGCGTCAACTTCTTCCACGCGGCTGCCTTCCGCATCCTGCGTAGGCGCAGATACCGGGGCTGGCGCTGGTACCTCCTTGGGGACTTCCTCCATGATAATCTCTTCATAAGAGAACGTGTTGCGCACCCTCTTGGAGTTGGGCTGCCGCAAGGGCCGTGCTTGAGCTGCCGCGTCGCCGTCCTTGTCCTTGTTAGACTTCCGCCCAGGCTTGCCCTTCTCCTTTTCCTTCTCCTTTTTGGCGAGGAACTCCTTGGTCTGGCCGCTGGTGACGATGGTGGCGACGTCCAACACGCCGTCCTCGTCAACGGCGGCGTCGAGGCCATCATTGTCCTCCATGGCGACATCTTCCTCCACTGCCGCCTCGTCATTCGCCGGTGCCGCAGACTGATTGGATGCCTCTGCGGCGGCGGCTACTGTTGAGTCGGCCGCGCCTGTTCCTGGCGGCGCGCCTTCTTCTGCTGTCGTTGCCGCCGGGGCTGCTGGGCGTGACTGAGACTGTGGTGCGTTGGTGGAGGACGACTCGACGGGGAGATCCATGAGTTCCTTCTTGGCCGGAGCGTAGGGCAGCACCTCGCAGATGCCGCTCTTCTTCAGCTGCTCCGCCATGTCATGGTTGAAGCCCTGCCCCTCGAGCAGCTGCAGCAGCTTCCGCGTGAAGACCTCTCCGCCGCTGATGAAGCGGTCGGGCAGCGGCCTGCCCAGGTCCATGTGGTTGACGACGCGGCCGTCGTGGATGGCGGTGACGTCGACCTTTTCGTAGCCAATGTCGACGACGGTCATGTTGGGCCACTTGAGGCCGTACTGCGTGGCGATGCCGCTGTGTATCAGGCAGAGGGCGGGCGTCTTTGTCTTTTCGAAGATGTAGCGGGCAATGGTCTCGCAGTCGGGGCGCGTCCACTGCGGGGAGGCCATGAGCATGATGGGGGTGTTGTGGTATGTGGTGGTGAGGAGGCCGTGGACGTGGTCGAGGAAGGCGAGGAAGGCGTCCATTTGGACGATGCGGCCGCCTGTATACGTTTTATGTTAGCCCACAAGTTTTTCAAAGGAGCATCTCCTCCTCCTCCTTCTAAACATTTTTCAATTTCTCTCTTCCATCATTCAAGTCGAACATACCCTCAATTGGCCACACGGCGCCCTTGTCCTCGTCCACATCCTCCACCCACTCCTCGTGCTCGACGCCGTCCGTCACCGTCGTCCGCTTGTACGTATAGTACGGCCGCCACTGCTCCGGCTCCTCCTCGTCCCTGAACATCCTCGTCGGGATGCGGTGGGCCGGCGGCGACAGCTCGCCGCAGCCCAGCTGGGCCATGGTCGTCCTGCTGCCGGGGCAGATGATGAGGATCTGCTCCTCGCGCCATTTCCCCCCGCTGGCCATGGTGCTTGCGGGCGGACGAAGGTTGTGGCTGCAGGTGCAGTTGTTGGTATTGTTTCGACTGCGATTGCGAGTTTGGGTTTGTGTCTGGTTGTTGTGGGCGTTGCTGGCAGCAGCTGTTGTTGTAGTATGAGTATCGGTGCAGGGATTGTGAATAACACAGCAATTGCCCTGGGCGTGAGGATGCCGCCGCCGCTGCTGGAGATCGCGCTTCTAGTGGTCGATGCCGTAGCTGAGCGGAGAGCCCGTGCGAATTGCCGCTGCGCCGCTGCCGCTCGTCCTGGTGGGAGTGGTATTGTGAGTCGTGGTGAGCTGCTGCTGCTGCTGCTGCCGACGCGAGGGAGTCGAAAACGAGCCTCGAGATGCTCTTCGCGCGCGCAAACCGTAGCGGTGTGGCGCAGGCGTGGGTGTGGCGCATTCGCTATCCGGGTCTGTGGCGGTGCGGGCCCTTGTTCCTGTGCCTGTGCCTGGGTACGAGTATAGGTACCTCCTCGGGGTTGGAGACGGAGACTCTTCTGCAGGTTGAGGAGTTTGGAGGCTGTGAAGCTGTTGTTGCTTTCGAGGAGTCCTGAAGGTGGTAGTGCTGCCCTGGTTGCTTTCAGGCCGAGAGCTGCTGCCAGTGCTGCTGATGTTGGCATCACCACCATCTGGTGCGTTTCGCGACATTGTTGCCTCCCCCTTCTCTCTTTCTCTTTTTTCTCTTCTTTTTCTCTTCTCTCTTTCTTCTGCCGTGCTGCTATACTAAACAATATGTCACTTCATTCTCATGCTCTCTTCAGGTCGTTAGAGGATTGCTTGGAATGGCGATGGCGGGAGTCAAATATCCAAAGAGTCAAGAAACCAACTGGAGGAGATGCAGCGAACCGCGGTGGTGCGGGAAAGCGTGAAGAGGAGTGAAAGTAAGGTGCTCGTTTGTCAAGAAGAAAAAGTGTTTGAAGTATTCCGTCTTCGAATTGGTTTGCCAGTGGATTGGTTTGCCAGCCGCCAGCTGCCAGACACTCGGCTGGCTGGCTGGCTTGCTGGCATCACCACTTTGACAGTCAGCGAAGGCTGCATGACCCTCACTGTCTCTACCGCTACGTGTCGCCGCACATTGCTTTGAACATCTGGTACACATATATCACCTTGGAGGACATTTATCCACCGTGAGAATCATGCTTTCAAGACGAGATAAAGCTTCCATTTCGCCTCAATTAGCATTACTAAAAGAGAACAACTGCGGATCCTAAACCATCACCAGAAATTTCCATCGCTGTCTGCAGTATCCTGTTTGCAGCTTCTACTGCCTCGTTCCTTGAATGTCCCCCCGTGGCTGTAGTCATACACCCAAACTGGTTCCCCAGTCAAATCTCTGCGAAATGCGACGCCCCATCATCGCTCCATGCAATCAACAAAAGGGTCCTCCGTATCTATAATTCAGAAAAAGGGGCAAGATAAATCGAATAAGTGAAAGAAAGGAAAGAAAGCAGGTGTCCAAAAGTCTCCAAACGCCATTGTTTTTTCTTCGTCAAAAGTATCCCAAGCAAGCGCTTCTTCCTCGAAGCTGACAGCGCCGCCCATATATCTCGGTATGAGAGTCGATATAAAGAGCTTTATCCCAGTAAAGATCCGCACGCCAATTATTAGTCAATGTCCCATAAACAAAAAGAAGTAAAGGAGGCTGAGAAGAATTTCCGGTAAAAGGCGCAAAGGAGAGTAAGTAATAATTTCGTGTAATCGTCGTCTTGGCTGCCTGGGAATAAATGCTGTCTGTCTGTCGTCGTATCGCGTGTCTGAGTTGTCGTCTCGCCTTTTTAGTTGGCTACCGTCACCACGGGCCTGTGCGTAGCATCTTCGGTGGGTGTTGCGAGGGAATCGTCAGCTTCCTTGGCTTCTTCAGTCGCCTTCTTGGGCGTCTCTTCAACGATCTTATCCTCCATGAGAGAGAATCTCCGCTCAGAGGTGGGCGTGGTAACTGAGGATCCGTTGTCGCTCCAGTGGTCCTCGGTCACGCCAGTGTAGATGGATGAGGTGTGCTTCTTGTTGTTCGACGCGGCATCATCCGAGGTGTGGGCCGGGACGTTGTCCTCCTCCTCCGAGGATACAGGCTTGCGCTGGAGCTCGGCTGCGGCATCGCTCTCTTCACCATCGGGATGTTCAGCCTCCTTCTCATCCGAGTGTGTAGGCTTGTGCCGGGGCTCTTCTGCGGCATCGCTCTCCTCGGCATCGGAATGCTCAGCCTCTTCCTTCTTCTGGTGCTTCTCCTCATTATCAGAATGCTCAGCCTCCTCCTCCTCCTGATCCTTTTCCTCGCCATCGGAATGCTCAGCCTCATGCTCCTTCTCGTCATGCTTCTCAGTCGCGGCCACGGCATCAATGTTGGCCGCGTCGACGTCCTTGTCTTCCAGATCGCCATCACTGCTATAGGTCTGGCTGAGGGGGCTCTGCAGGTTGAGGCCCTCGCCTGCAGCGTCCTTGTTGGCGATGCGAGACATTCTAGCAGGGCTGCGCGTCGGCAAAGGCGGGGGCACGCGCTTGGCGATTGTCACCACATTGGCCCGGGGTTGGATCATGCGAGAGGTGAGCATCTGCGTGCTGGTTCGCTGGACCGCGGCGACTTCAAAAACCACGGGCTCTTCTCCTTCCATGTCGTCGTCGTGCAGGTCGTCGTCGTCGCTACCCTCATCTTCACCCAGAACCTCCCCTTCGCTTAACTCTCCGTGGCTCATTGCATCTTCCTCAAGAAGAAGGCTTTCTGAAATAGACACGGCATCGCTGTCGCTCAGCTCTGCTTCATCCCCAGAGTCGGGACCAACGGCCACGTCCCTGGAAAGCCTGTGCTGAGCAACGTTGGCGACGGACTCCGACTCCGACTTGTCCTCTTCTTCACTGTCCTCCTCCTTTGCCTCCTTCTTCACGCTCTCATCATCCGTCTTGTCCTCCTCATGCTCCTCGTCCTCCTCCTTCACGGAAGCAATGTAAAGTGGAGAAGCCCGGCCGTTGCTGTCGCTAGGACCTGGGCTGGGAGACGTTGCGGGTGTGTTGCCCGTGTCAGTCTGTGTACCGGCGTCAGTGACCTGGCTCCGGATCGTCCGCATGGACACGTAGCTTCCCCGGTTGCTCCTTGACACGAAGGTATCCATGCTCTGCCGGCTAAACTTGGACGCAGCGACGGGGCTCATGGGGGCTTGGTTGATGTCGAACAAGCTACTCGTCGGGCGTATGCGAGAGCCAGCCTCCCGGATCTCAAGGCCTGCCATTTCCAGCGCCAGAACGCCAAAAGGATCGGGGTCATCCGCCTGGGGGATGCCAAACGAAGTGTGGGACGAAGTGTGGGGGGACGAGGGCATCGAGAGCGACTTGGGAGGGGTTGCCGTGATCAGGGCGTCACTTGGTGCCGGCTCAGCGGCAACCTTGTTAATGACGGAGCTGTCGTAGTCGGTTCTTCCCTCGGCCATCTTGAGGACTTCGTTCAGAGCAGTCGTCTCCTCAACATCTCTAGAGACATTTCCGGCAAGGATGTCCATATGGGTGATGTCGCTAGAACTGTAGAAGCGCTCGTTTTCGTTGCTGCGCTCGGACAGCATGCATCCGTGGAGGTTGACCAGCTGCTGCTGGCCTCGAGCCTTCATGTATGTCAGAACGGTGTTGCCCAGCTCTCGCCAGTTGATCTCGGACTCGTCAGAGCCAAGCGCGACGGTCTCTCCAGAGCGAAGCTCAACATCTTCGCCGAGCGTCACGCGGGGTCTGCTGACGGACTCGAGCGCAGAGAGACTGGTGATGACCAACACACAGTCGTACACATCGACGCCGATGATGAAGCTGAGGGTCGGGGTGTGAAGCATGATGCCTGAAGGAGGAGACCAAGTGCCGTCGGATTTCCTGGCAATCAGAATGCCCGAACCGCCCGAGCCGGTCATCCACAGGCCGCTCCGCATGCATGTGAAGACGGCAATGCCAGCGGCATTTTGCATTATTCGCTTAGGGATCTTCTTGGGAATCAAGTCCAGCGTCCTGGTGCCCGATGAGGTAGATGCCGGAGACATCGGCACGTCGGTTTCGGTAGGGGCGAAATAGCCGTCGACTGCCAGGCCCGCGTTAGCATCTGTACTGCACTGCACTTCTTACATGCTGCCTCTTGGGCTCCGAGGCAGGGCAATTGATGGATCGCAGAAAGGAACGGAGGGCCCTGATCTTGGTCTCGATAGAGCACACATGGACATACCGCAGAAAGACTTGAGGATGCGGGCAGCCTTGTCGCATTCCAGGTCCAGCGTCGCGGGCCAGAAGGCCTCTCGCTGCACCCGCTTGCCCTGGCTGCCGCTGTTGGCGGCGTCGGTGTTGATTTTGGACAGGCCATTGGGGGGCGGAGGCTGCGACGATCTGTTGGGCCAGCCAAAGACGCTGCCGGTCTTGCTGGAGCTGCCAGAGCTCCTCCTGTCCCACGAGGGCAAGAAGGCAGAAACGCGCTGCATGGCTGCGGTCGAAAGGGGTCGGAGGGGCCTCGCGGCCGTTCAGGGAAGAGAAACCGTCACCGCGCCGCCGGGAGGGTGGGAGAGGGCGGGAGCAGAGGAAGAGAGCAAAATCAGCGAGGCGGGACAAGCAACGGAGAGGGATATCATCAGCCGGGCCGGGTCGTCGACGCTGCCACCAGCAACTGATGAAGCCGACGATGGTGGTGGAGGTGGTGAGAAGGAGAGTCTGGGTTGGAGTCGGGCTTGCAATCCGGCGGCGAGCGAGGAGGAGCGCTCAATGGCTGGCTTGCACCGCCCTGGGCTGGGACGCTCAAAGCTTACAAGCTCCACAGGTGCAATCTTTTCCAGGTTCCAGTGCATGCACCAGCAGAGACCACTAAACGCACCTGCGCAGCGCTGACCCGGGCCTGCTGGGGGGGTTCAGCCACCCACCCACCCATCAAGCGGGCAGCCACCAAACCGGCCACTCAGGGCGACGGCAGCCGACCTCAGCCTCCCAAGGCCAGTGCAGTGCCGGGCCCCCTGTGCTGGCTCCAGGGCGCGGGAACCGGATCTGGTTCCAAGCATCGAGACACAAGCCGGCTGTCAACCCACGCGCTGCGGCTGCTGTTAGTGGTGACCTAGCAGCTCCAGTCGTGACGCTACCGGCTCGTCAAAACTTGGAGCAGGACGAGGAAAATCTTGCTACTACTAGCGGGAGCGACGGTGGAAGGGAACTCCGGAACATGAACCTTGAAGCCTCCATCTCGAGGGCTGCTCGAGCTTGCAGCGCACTGATCCATCATCAACACGATTGGGCCGCCTGGACAAGGAACCTGCAGGCCCTGCAAGGCCCTAGCCGCAAGGCGCCCAGCTGGCTGTGTTAGCGGCCAGGGGCTGGCCGCCGCTAGTTGAGAGCAGCCCTGGAGGTCAAGTTCCTCTGAGCGTCATGTCTGAGTGTGATTTGATGCCCGCGTCTGGTGTGTGAGCGTGTGTTCACTCATGTCGGCTTGGTTCAATCCTCGAATTTACATACATTACAGGGGGAGAGGCCGCATGCCGCCCGTTTGCCATACTACTATCACAATGTCATTATTCGTTCATCGATTCACTGCTCGACTTTCCGCCTCCATGCTTGCAGTATCGGCGGTGTCGATACGCGGGCAGAAAATAGCATCAAACAGATGGGCAACATAAACACAGGCATCGCACTCCGGCTCTCACATACATACTTCATCTCGCGGCATTGCAATCTCCGTCTGTTTGTTTGTTTTCTTCTTCATCCGCGCCCCCTTCATCCGTTTGCCCTCTCTCGGGTGCACGAGCGGCGCATGCATACTTCGTGCTTTGCGGCCTGAAACACCAAAGCCCACCGAGACAACATGGAAAAAGTACGTGCGCTGTCTCGGCCCTCTCAGCCTCGCCTCTGCGCTTTGTTGCTGTTTCGCGCACATCATCTCATCTCATGTCATTTCATTTCAGTCCCTTTGGTCACCGACCACAGACAGGCCATGTCGTGCAACCGTGAAATTTGCCATCCATCTCTGCTGTTGATGCTGTGCACTGCAGCCAATCACGCCACTTTTGCTGTCGTCCACATGAACGACTTCAAACGGCTTCTGACTGATGTGATCCAAGATCAGCAGTGAATTGATTTTCAACGGGAGCGGGGATCCTCGTTTCCCCCCTCTTATTATGTCCTGGCACATGCAGTACTGCACATAACACACCACACGCGGAATACGAGGAACAGCATCGCGCGTGTCGTCACACTCTTCGTATCGTGGCCAGCCGGCGCATCTGTCACGTATGGACAAACAACAGCCATCACGCTGTTGATCACTAAACCTGGCACTCGAAAGGGAGACATACATACACAAGTGAGACCTTTTGTTTCCTACTCACATAGCTCGGCGCCCGTCAAATCTCCACTCGCCATGGCTTGCAAAGACATGCCCGTGCAAGTTGACTTGAATCACAGACAAACATACCTCCACTCAAACCGAAACCCTTTCGAGGCCTCTCATCACCGCTCGAGCAAGCAATCTTTGCCTGAGTGACCTCAAGAGCCGCAAGCTCACGGCATCCTGCTTCTGCCACTTCCAAAGCCATGGAAGCAAGCATATGTCATTTCACTTCATCCCCCGACTTGGTAGTTGATCCTCCGGCCCTCCCAAGCGCCCTCCCTCCACTTCCCCTGCGTGGCAATCAGACGATTAGCGCATCGATTCGGGCGAAATTGACGTCGCACTGCAGGGCCTTTCTAAAACCGATCGCGGCTACGGAGCCGTGCTGTTGCGTGCTAGACCACTAGTAATTGGAATTAATTATGAGATGGGCAATTCATGAACGAAGTGCGTAACATCAAATGAGAACATGATAGGGCTGCTAGACGGTCGGGGACGTGAAAGTCCTTGGCCCCTGGTCCATGTTCATGTTTCTGAGATAGTAGAGCTCTTTGGACCCGTCACAATTCACAATTCAGAAACACAGGGGACCAGCGTTATCAGATCAACTGGATCGTTAGTGCTCATAGTCTGCTATTGCCGTTCCCATTGTCAAGCTGGAGGACAATAAGCCAAAGCTCCAACAAGCTTCAAGCTGGGGTTCACACGGGAACGGGGAAGCTGGTCCCAGCTCTGCCCACTCCCTCGTGCTCGTGCTCGTGCTCGTGCTGCCGCAGCGGGTGGCGGACGAGGCAATTCCCGCATTCGTCAATCCCCAAATCTCTCTAATTCGGGATGAGGAGCGTGGGATTCTGCGGACGGCGCGCAGGTTGGCCCCCGTTGCTGCTTTCCATGTTGGATCACCCGCATATATACATGTACTAACATGAATACAGGTTGCCTGTGCTGGCGCTCTTCACAAGAAGGCTACACTGCACTGCGCCGCGCCGAGATTGGACCAAGAGCCAACCAACATACCTGATACCAGTGAGGAGGACTTCATGCTGTGCGACTGTGACGCTGGTACCATTCGCTGCTGCCCATGACATGTGTCCCCTTTTTGCTCTTTCTGAGATGATTCGGCTCCTGGAAGCAGGGTTGAAGCGCATACCTGCATGAGTCCAACGGAAGCAATATTTGAAATCTTGCGCAAGACTTGCTCGTCCAAGTTGCAGATACACCACCAGATTTGGCGAAGACTGCATCTTGATACTTTACAATACTTGTTTCGCTCCATATGTTCCCTTCTGTGGCGTGATGCCCCTGCATATCCAGTTCGGTGGCGTCTAGAGGTCGCGCAATTGTGCCTTGTACCAGCACAGGTCGGCTTCAAGCTGGAGAAAGACTCCGCGCTCAGATCCGGCCATGTCTCATTACAATCAATTGAAATGACTGCTACCCCTTCTTGTATGGAGTTCATCTTGTTACGGGAACAAGGTGCGTCCTACTCAGAATAGAAGCTTTCATAGCGGCAGCATCATGGCCGGGGATGTTGCTCGCGTCAGCTTAGTCGTGGCCCCGGATACACTTTCAGAAAAGGCAAATAGATTAAGGGGGTTTGTAGCATCATGTATATTGGACCAATCAATAGTTGACAGTGGAAAGAAGAAAAGGAGGAAAGGAGAAAGGGAGTTGTTATGTAGGTTTGATGTACTGCTACATTTCACGGTTGCCATGGTGACTTTATTCATCCAACGGTCTCCAGTGTTGGTCAAGACACATAGAGAGACATAGACGTCTTATATAACTCTATGTCAGATATCACCAGTAACCATACTAGCCGCCAACGCTCGTTCAGTATGCGTATACCCAGGCCTATGATAAGGCATCTCAGATGGACACAGTATTACGGCAGTTCAGGTCGTCCCTGTGGAGAGGGGATAGGTCGTCAGATACTCCAAATCCACTGCTTGTTTCTCGAGCGGGATTTGGCGACTATATCAAGTTATGATCAATGAAGGCGCATCTTTGCTCCGCGGTGATACGATCAAGGCTCTGTATGAAGTCCGTCACGATCGTACCCTCGGAAGGATGAACTCATTTCTTTACAAGGCCCTACACTTTGTCTAAACTCACAAAGGCAAAAGTATATGACGTTTTGAAGGAGTCTTTGATACCCATATATGCAATGGATTTCTCAAGCTTCCTCAGCTTCCCACGATCATCAGCTCCAAGGCTCAATGAGACTCTATGCAACTCCTCCACATTTGAGCCAAATAGGAAAGTAGGTTCACGATATGAAATTGAGAAGTCCATCATAATATACTTAAGAACGGGACTCTTATGAGACGCAATCCTTCTGAATGGCGCTTACAAAAATCACCGTAGAGTCGAGCGCATTTCATACCTCTGCCACAACAAGGAAGAGTTGGGCAAATACTACAGAAGTATATTCTTAACAGGGGCTAGCCTAGTTTCCCTGTTCACACGCTAGCAAGTACATCGCAGTGGGGTGAAAAATCATCAGGCGTCTCTTCACCACTCTCACATCGCAACTTCGCCTCTGATCTCGCAAACAGCCCACTCCCATGAATCCCAATGCCATACAATTCATCCCATCAATGAACAATCACGCCAACAGCATCTCTCACTGACGACATCTCCAACTCCCGTCCCAACGCCCAAAGGTAGCGAGATCAACGCGCTCGCCCACTCTAATCTCAGAAGATGTTCAAGTCAGCCAATCCCCCACAAAAGAGACAGTGATAGACAAGACAAAAAAACAAGAGAACTTACTCTTCAGCGTGTTCAAACGTAGGGCATACAAGAACTTGTCACCCAACACCCGCCTGGGCGTCGGCGTCGCCGTCATCGCCTGGGGCATCGCAGGGCTGTACATCTCCGACAAGGCTGAGGAGTCGTTCGGCTTCACACCGACCGAGGAGGACAAGGCTGAGCTGCGCAAGTTGGCGCCCAAGATCACGACTGTAGAAAAGTCCCAGGACCAGTCAAGATGACGAGGAGAAATCGGCGTAATTAGCCATCAGCCTCATTGATGGGAACCAAACTCTGCACCACACCAAACAATCTCTCTCTCTCCCTCCCTCTCATACCTTATATACGACGGGATTTGATTCCCAAAATGCGCATCTTATAATAGCATCAAGATCACAGCTGTGGCATGGCAAATCTTCTGTCATCAAATCGCATTGTCTTATATAAAGACTGCTACTAAGAGTGTCTGTAGTAGTACATTGATTGGGCTGCTTTTTATCTCACATATACTCTGTACAACTCTTCCATGAGTGCCCGCCTTTCATTCATCCTCCGCTCCCACCTGCCATTCCGTCCCATTTTGTTTTTCTTTTGCCATCCTTCATACCGCCGGGAACACGGCGCAGAGCAACACTCATTATTGTAGCCCAAGCCGAAATCGTGAAATCGTACCAGGTAACTACCATAACCGGCCAGGACCTCCCCTCTCTATATCGGATCGAAATCTAATGAAATCAACTCCACAACCATCTATCCGGACTGAAAATGCAATTTGCAGCACACAAAGACGCCACCGATGCCGAGCCTTATGCATTGCATGACAAGTCCAACAGGTGTCTTGTCACGCGCAAGGTTGCTCCTATCCGCGATCCAGTCGTTTGCGTTGTCAAAAAGACGAAAGGAAAAAGAAAAGAAAAGACCAAGGAAACCAGACGTTGAGAGAAAAAGAAATCAAAATCAAGCCGAAACTCCTCAAAATGCAATCACCCTGCGGTTTTTTTTATCGTTCAGTTTTCCTTTTTCTTTTTCTCTTTTCGTTCTTCTCCCCGTCGATAACAGAAAGAAACAAACAGTATCGATCGTAGAAGCAGTCATGGGTTGTTCCGACAATCTCTGCCGCACAACTAGGAGTTTGTATGTTTCTCAAGCCTTCAATGATAAAGACTCGAAAATACCCCTCCATCGTTGGCAAAGTCAGCTTATGCCAGTGGTACTTCTTGCATACCTAGTATACCAGTACCTAGTGGCAGACAGCCGGACCAGTGAGAAAGGTATTAGCCAGAGATTTTACCCTCTGGCAGACATTCGGAAACAAAAAAAAAGCTTCTTCGTTCTCGAGGCTCATTCTTTCTTTTTTCGCGGGGGTTCCCATGTGGGCCACCACAAGTTACTCCTGGGAATTAGGCTCGGCCTTGGTTGCGGTCTGTGTCTGTCCGTGATTAGGGCCTGGTAGCAGAGAAGGATGGATTGGAGATGGATGCGCACCAGCCTGGAAGACCTGGGACCAGTCAAGGCCAGGTTGTTGGTTCGGGTTGGAACCGCCGTACATGGGGATACCATTCTGACCAGGAGGCATGCTGTAGGTCGGCATCTGCTGGTTGGCCATGGAACTGGACACGTCGCCGCCGTACTGCTGGGAGCCGCCCATAACAGGGCCGTTCATGTTCCTCCGGTCTGCATTCCCATCGTCAATTCGACCCATGCTGCTTGATCGCGAGAGCTGGCTCTGGTCACCTGTCATGTTGTTCATCCCATCCTGAACGGCAACGATGCCAAAGGGGTGCACAATGTTGTTTCCGCCCATGTTGCCAAGTCCGTTCAGGTGGTTCAGATCTTGTCCGTTCTCGAGAGCGGCCTTCTGCGCCTGCGCGTTCTTCTTGACGTGGGCCTGAGGGTGGGACAGATGGCTAGCGCCCGTGGGGTTGCCTCGGCGGATAGAGCACTTCTGGAAGTGACGCTTGAGGATGTCGCTTCGGGAGAAGGTGTCCCGGCAGAGGACACACATGTAGGGGCGATCACCGGTGTCTAGAATGAGTTGGTCAGCACGCAAGAACGCCTTTCAATGAATAGGCATCTTCTTCGGTGGCAGGCAGTAACTTACGGCGAAGCAGGTGGCGCTTCAGGTGCTTGGCATGCAGATAGGTCTTTGTGCAGTGAGGGCAAGGGAATTTGCCGTCGGCATCCTTGACGGGGATGACGGTGTTCTTGGCGCCAGTTCCCGCAGCCTGGGCAGTAGGCCGTCCGGGAGCGCTGGGCAAGATACCTCGGCGACCCTGAGATCCAACGACGTGCGTCGGCTGCTCGCCGTCGGGGAGGATGGGGTTCGGCTGCATCAGAGAACCCGGGCCGTAGGGCGAGGCCACGCCAGGCTGCGCCATGAGACCTCCGGGGGGCATGGGACGCAGGACAGGAGGGCCGCGACCGCCAACCGGCGCAGGAGCAATCGGCTGAGGGTGAGAGACGGCCGTGGTAGCCTGGGGCATCATAGCCGCAGATGTGGCATATCCCTGGTGAGGGTACGGGTTCTGTGCCATTGAGTAGATGCCGGGCCGAGGACCAGGCTGCGACGTCTGCTGCTGGTAGCTGGGCAGGTTGTTCTGCGTAGGCGTGTTGGGAGTGCCTGGAGTTCGCGGCGTATGCGGGTGGCTACCGTAGAGCGGCTGCATCGCAACGGTATGAGGCTGCAGAGGTGGAAGCGTCTGCGGCAGAGGAGAGCCGGTCTGCAGCTGGTGAGGCGAGATGGCAGTGGGCGACGGGTAAGTCTGGGCCGCGGATGTCGGAACACCGTTGTTCTGGTACTGAGGGTTGTCCATGATGCTGCGCGAAGACGCGTCCGAGAGACCGACGTGTGTTGTGTGTGTTTTTTTTTCCGGCTACCGCAAGGGAGACAGAAACAGCAGACTCAACAGGCTGCGGGCAGCAACGTCGCAATCGAGCAATTGGCGGGATAAAAACCGACAGCGACGCGCTGATGGATCAGGAAGAGTTCGAGAACAAAGGACGAAAGCGTAAACGCAGGTTTACAGTCTTTCTATGAGGCCCACGCGTGAGGTTGCGAGAGGGCTGCGGCGTTCTGGGGAAGGTGGAGGTGAGGCTCTGGGTATAACAGGTCCCTCACGAGAAAAGATGGTTAGGTAGGGAAGTTGTTGGAGTGGGGTGGAGAACTGGGTCTCGTTCCTTTTTTATCCTGGAGAGAACCTGTCAGTTGGCTGCAAAAAGGCGAAACTATTTTCGTGGAAGAAAAAAAGAGCAGGAAAAAAAAATAAGTGCCAAAAGCGTGGAGGGTGCGAAAAAGGGCGCTAACAGGGGGGAGGGGGTGGAGTGGCAACAAGCGCCATTTCCAGGGTGCCGAAAACACCAGAGCAAAAGTGGGGCGGTGCTGCAACAGTGCAGCGGTGCAGCAGCGCAGTGCAGTGCAGTGCGCGGCAGTACCGAGTACTTGTACAAGCACCAGCGCGCGTACCGGTACCGGTCCCCAAGGTTGGAGCACTGGGAACAGCGCGCAAGGTACATGCGGCCGTTGGCAATTGCAGCAGCGCGGCCATTGCGAGAGACCGCGAAGACGGCCAGTGGCGAGTGGAGCCAGAAGCGCTGCCAGGCGGTATCGCGAAGGCCGCAAACAAAAGCCAGACCCGGACCGGGGGCAGCGTGCTGCAAAGAGATGCAGAAACACAGCGGGCAAGGAATTGGGTTAGGGTTGAATCCTCCTAGCAGGATGGGAATAAGGCAAATGGGTACGGGCAGCTCTGGTGCAGGTAAGGGTTCTGGCGGGAGCGCTGGGGCATGGGCTTGGAGTGGGAGGGGAGGGGAGGGGATCCAGCAGAGGCTGTTTTCCCTCTGCTTGTGTGGTGACTTTTTTTTGGAGAAGGCAGAAAAAGACGGAACGGCGACCGAGGGGCCCTCTTTTGTCCACATACCTTGGCAGTATCGCGCGGGTCGTTTTCTGATGGCGCAAGAAAACCACGAGGCTTCGAGCTGTGCAAAGGACGAAGGACGAAATAAAGGGCAGGGCGCGAGAGATGAAAGACGTCGATACTGAGAACCGACAACCTGAAGGCGACGAGAGAAGAAAAGGGAAGAAGGTGAGAGAAAGAGAAGAGGACGAGAGGACTCGAGGGCAGGAGAACAATTGTGCTATCGCTGATTTAGCATCCAAGGCCTCGGAAAAAATGCGGCGAGCGCAAGGGCGCTAAGCCGAGCACAGGTACTCGACTCGGACCGGGGAGCAGGTACCTCGACTTTGCTGGCAGAAACGCGTCGTCGGACGAGGGGAATTGAGAAATGCAATATCAATACAGGTATAGTGGTAGGTACTCCCAACGTGATTCGTATTAGGAGAATAACGTGCAAATACGGTCCGGCAGCTTACGAAGTATTGACATCAGAACAATAAAGATTGCAAGATTTATTAATATTTGCCTCACCTCACAGCAAATGCGAACGAATCTGGACGTCCTTTCACACAGTCACGACAGTCGTTCGTTGCGTGTCCAAGGGCGGGGCCTGAGCGAGAGAGGCGATAGTAGTACTTCGAAAATCCTAGAGTTTCCGCTAGAAAGAAAGATTTTTCCCTATATTCCTTCGGCTTCCTCTCCTTCTATTACTATATCTACCTACTGCCTACACACTGAGTGCGCCATCTGACTATTTTACTCTCAAGCCACCAAACAGAAAAGGAAAGGAAAAAACTGCCGTGGCGTTCTTTTGATAGCCACAACAGCATCGCAGATATGGCCGGCGCTTCTCTCACCTTCTTTTTCAAACCACTAACGCATCATCGCCTTTTCCGAGCCTTTCTCACGCTTCGGCTCCGGCGAATGCTTGTACAGTTCAGCGCACGGGGCTTGTCGCTCGCTGTTGCCCTCCCAATTTGTGATTTAGCTTGGCCAAGGTACCGGCTACCTACCGCCGGCGGATGATCAGTCGAACAACATGCGCGGTACTTCCAGCGTACTCGCTGCACCATGCGCATCACCTGCCGCATCCAGCCGCCGTCCTCGGCCGTTAGATGTACCGCGAGGTATCGTGGACGAGGCGAAGGAACAGAATCCCTTGGCAATCGTGCCTTGTACTTGTACTTCCATGGCAGTGTCACTTTCCCTTCCTCTCCCGGGTGTTCTTCTCAGTTTCCCTTGGATCGTTGAATTGACACCCGCCTTCAAAAGACGTCCACGCCCCCCGTGAAGCAGGGCGAAACCCTCATCTGCCGGCGCCGGGAGCGTTATCTGTGCCAGACATGCCCTCGACGAGCCGCGATTCAAGTCAATTTCTGCTATTAGTACATGTAATACTTTGGCCGCCTGTCTCGGCGGCGGAAAATTGACGAGGCACCAGCAGACCAAGACACTGAGCGCTCAGGGCTCCTCGAATGATGCCAGCGCCGCGACCAGGGGGCGGCACTTTTTACTCTTTCGCGTAGCGACAGGGATGCGAAGCTCTGGGCGGCAGACGGTGCCGATGCTCGGGGGGTGTGTCATGACCTCTGGCCCTTCCCATGTCTCTTTTTGTGACGGCTCGTCTCAGTGAGCGAGAGAAGCAAACGTCGTCTCTGGCCCTGCTGCCGGCCAAGCCCCTCGTCATTGGTGAGCTGGCTGGCAAAATACTCAGAGTAAACGCGGATTGCGCTGCAATAATGCCCATGTCGCTCCCTAGCCTCCTTACATGTACAAGTCTGCGACTCGCTCAAAGCACGAGTGCGCCATCTCGTCCTGCTAGCTCCTGGGCTGCCAGCAGCGAAGTGCTTGCCAAGTGGCATTGATGCCAATGCTACCGTGTCCGGCGCCTGACGTGCTGGGGTTGGAGACTCGCCTGGCCCGTCTATCTGACCTGGCCATGATGCCCTCGCTTTCGATCACTGCCGGCCGCATGGGAACCCAAAAGGCGAAGGAAAGCCCAAAGTGCGTCGAAGCTAGGCCGAATAGGCGTCGACCACCATCATCACTACCTTCTCCTCCTCCCTCCTTATCCTCCTCCTCTTCAGCATCATCATACATGTGGTAGTATACATATACATGTGCCATCCCACAAATAGAGTGGTAATAAAGTGACATTCTGTCAGAGAGACGCCCACTTTCCGACATACATGAGTGTTCGGTAGTGGTGCCTCGCACCAAGTGGTACATACATGGAGAAACGACCGTGCTGGCTGCATCCTTCACAGAGGGCCATAGACTGAAAATCACGGGTGTTGCATCCTGACTTGGATCTATATGCATCTTCTCCTCATTTCGCAGCTCAGGAAGCCCTTGGCCGCGACGCATCTGCTCCCTATAATTACCTCATATTACATAGCCGTCCGGTAGTCAGTCACAAGCACCGAGGTTACTCTCAATCATATAAGCTCGGGGTTTCATCTCTTTTGATCGACTTGTATTGCCTCTTTTTCTTTATCTTTTTTTTCGTTTCTGATACTGGTATGGTGCCAGCCTTAACATCGTTTGATCAGGGCGTCATGATATAGTATACATACTACTTCCATAGTCTAAACTGTCCGGGTTTATCTCCGGCTGCCATCAAAAAGCACATGTTCCTCGTACGAGATGCCACCCAGTAGGGAGATCACGGCTCCGTACGGTAACAGTGCAGAGATGAGATGGCTGAGCAACGACACTAGCCTAATTCTGCCCTTCCTTGACGGCGGATTTATCAATCTATTGGTAATGCGAGGATGTGAAGCAGACCAGCTTGACGTCTTATCACACACGCACACCACCACTTCATACAAGTTGAAAGTGCCAGCTCCTACATACAGTAATCTACTTGGCACTCAACTACCACTGCTCCTACCGAGGTATGGCTCGTAATGGCAGCCACTGCCTCATCGAGTAGTACATATACTTGTCTTTGAGGGTTAGAACTCGCGAGTTGTTGCATGCTAACGCGTGCACTAACAGTCAATGCCAAATATCAGACTCAACAGCCTTAGTCGCGCATGGCATTGGCAGACCCTTCCTACATGTCAATGCATTGCGCCTAGTGCCGTCGCAGTGGTATGTAGGCGTGCAGCCGTCCAGCTGCAAGTACCAGCAGCTGATATCAAAGACAATGCCCAATGCAATGGGCGACGGTCTGGCAGTGATGGGAGTCCCGCATCACGCGGGTTGTCAAAATACAGGGTATCACCGCTAATGTACCTACTGCGGGTTGCGTATCAGCCTCTTCCACATCACATGACGACCAACACGGCGCTCGAACAAGATGAAAATGAGTCGTGTTTTAGGGATATTTTCCCGATATGAGACACATTGCAAGGGGGGTTGATTGGCAAGTCATTGAAACTCCCAAGTTTGCAATTGGCAATGACACGGAAAAGCAAAGAGAGGTGAACCAGGGAATCAATGCGCTTGAATGTGTGCTGTCTATATTGCGATTTCGTACCAGCAGAGAGACACCCAACCCCAGGCGGCAGTAGCAGTACCTCACCTCCTTCCCGGCCGTATTTAGACGAGGTATCGACAGGAAGGAGCAATCACATAATGAATGCTAGGCACTGTCCGTGGTGTGAGCGCAAGCTCAACCTCACCTTCCAGTGACACTATTTCTTCCCCTCAGGTTTGTTGAATTGTCTTCTCTGCTCAACAACCTCCTCTTCTCACCTCTCCCTCCGTGCCAGAACTCCCAAGACGGCCAAGTGCTCATCATGCCTCCTCCCTTCCAGCTTGCTGACGGCGTACAGGGAGAGAAAAAGTCTTCCATGATTATTTGTACAGCGCACGGAGCATGGCGTACAGCAGGTACTACGAGTGCAAGTGGCTATGCGCACGAGTCAAGCAGGAGCAGGCTAATCCAAGTGCTAGCACGAAGTATTTTCGAT